CCAAAAACCCACTAAACCCTAAACGGACGAACCTTCCTGAAGTTGTCGTAGACAGTGTCGTTCATGGTCTGGTCCACCTGTCGCGTACAAGTTAGGGTTTAGTCGTGCCACAATGACAGCCACGCTCCCACGCGAATGCCAACGAGTGGTTCATTTTGCGATTCCTGTACAATCTGCACTGCACGGTTTGTAGCGGACGCACAGCACCCTCTTGAGCATCTCACTTGCCTAGGGTTTGAGGGCTCACTTTGCTTAGAGTGAGGGGCTCACTTTGCCTAGAGTGAGGGGCTCACTTTGCCTACGGTTGAGGGCTCACTTTGCCTAGGGGCGAGGGCTCACTTTGCCTAGGGGTGAGGGCTCACTGTACAAGGTGCTGATACGAGCCACTGCGAAGCGAAGCACGTTTGTGCAACCGCTTACGACTGCATGTCTGCCGTGGTCTGGGGGGTCAGCTTGATGACATTCCCCAAAGTGTCACGAAAATTGGTGATGTCGTAGGACTTGCCCAAGCTGGTTGTATCCGACAAGCAAAGCCATCTTCAGGCTCTCGCTTACAGACTTGAGCTCCTCAATCTTGGCATCAATGCCTTGGCACAAGAAGAAGCGTTCGGCGATGTGGCGAAGCCTGGTATCAACTGTGCCAGAAGTGCTGGTAACCAAGTAGTCGTGAACCTCCTTGGCCGTCTCTGGCGACGCTTTCACAAGCAACTGCATCTGCTCAATCATCACGTCCTGAGCCTTCTTGTTGTCCAAGGAGGAGAGAAAGGACGTGATGACGCCCTCGGTTGTCTTGACGATACCAACGCTCTTCATCTCACTGCTCACAGAAGACGCTTTCGTCAACAGCGCCTTCTTCGTCTCGTTGTACTTCTTCCGTGTCTTTTCAACACGGGCGTTTGGCCCACCTCCTTGCAAGCGAAGGACCATAGAAACCACAAGCTCCTGCTGACCAGCCTCAACAAGGTCACTGAGAACGGTTGCCTCGTCCGCAGTCTGTCCATTGACCTTGAGCACGAACATGTGATGGCTGATGATGAACTGACCGTTCCGAGCATTGACACGACGCTCAATCATCTCCTTGACGTCTTGAATTTTGGTTGTGAGCCCGACGCCCGTCTGGACGAAGAGCTTACGTCCCCGATGCTCGCAGACTGCAATGTCCACGCGCTCACCTGTGTTGTCCTCACTGCTTTTTTCGTCATCGTCCGCGTCAGCTTCCAGCCACGTGTCAAGCCTGTGTGAACTCATACTCGCCGTCGTCGCCGAGCTGGATGCAGTCCTCGTTGAAGGCCTCCTCGGTGTCCTCGCTGTACTTGTCCTCAGCAAAGTTCGTGAGGAAGAACTCGTTCAGTGTCAATTCCTCACGCACGGTCACAGCCAGCTTCAAGGGAACAACCAAACTAGGGGTCACGTTGAGCTTCCAGTTCTGGTCGTCAACGATGGTCTTCTCTGGACGGCGTCCATCGCGAACCATGTAGCGAATGGTGACGAAGTCGTCACCTCTCCATCCGCGGCCAGCTTCCATATCCAACTGAATCGCCCTCTCCTCAAAGCGGTCACGCTCAAGTTTTGCACTCCATGCCTCAACGAAGCCATCCACTAGTTCATCCTTTGGGGTCTTCTTTGGAAGCTGGTCCACAGGTGCAAGGTACTCCTCAAACAAGGTCAGAAGCTCTGGCTTCGTACACTTCGTGAGTGCTGACTTAAGGGCTTCACCTTCCACCACGTAGTCAGCAAGGGTGTCCCTTCTGATTGCCGTCCCAAAGGGAATGTGCACAGCAACTGTCCCACCGGTCTGGCGAAGGAAGAACAACGACATGACCACAGGCTGAGGAGTTCGGATACGAATTGCTGAAGCAAAAGGGCTTCAACAAAAATCAAGTGTTGCTCATGCTTTGTTGCACTCACTTGCACCACGGACTGCAATGCAAAAGGTGGTAAAACATGACTCAAACAATGCAATCACTGATGTTTTCCGTCTACGGTACAGGTGCTCACGCACGTTTCTGAGGAACGGCTCTCTTGTGTAGCCACTCTCCCTAAAGGTCTACTGTCCTTGGCTTTCTGAACTGGGCACATATGCAATGAAGCCCAACCTTTGAGTTCAAATGCCACGCAAAAAGTTTGGCTGTACTGCTCTCACCATTCAAGCAACAACCACCACGCCCTCTCCATCAGATGCTGGTACTGGAGGCTTTCAGTCTCGCAATAGTCATGGGAGTTCCTCATCCGGTTTTTCGTAATGTGACGGCTTACACGACGAAGCCTTTTCTCTCTGGCTATACAGAAATGCTTGTTCGCATTGTCACAGAACGCGTTATGAAGATATTCTGGGTCTCCTTCTGCCACCTTGTAGTTCGGCTCGTACCCCATGGCTTCCACAACTCTCTATGAAAATTCAGCCAAAACGGCACTTGAATGAAAACAAGTTGCTCATGCTTTGCTCCAACTGCTCAAGGCTCGTTGAATGCACCTGCGCTCACAGACCGAACTGAAAATCAAAATCATGCAAGGCGTACCGTCTGGAAGTCGCCTTCCTTGATGTAGCGCCACCGCGGTGGCTTGTTGAAAACCCCCTACTACCCCATACTATGAACCATAAAATGAATCAACCTAACCTTGCCCAGTTTAGGATGTTACATCACCTGATAAATAGAATGAGATAGAGTATTTTAAGGATAATGAGCTACTAGTTGTGATTATTGGGCTATATATGTTTGCGGTGATGTAATACCCCAAACTGGCCATGCCCTATGCTAACTAAATCTTCGAGGAGAACAGCACGACAAGCTCCACCGCTCCGATCTCCAAACATCAAAGATGAGGGTCACGAGAACCTGCCGGCCAGGTGGCGTGTCGCACTCGACCGAGGCAACCCATGGTACGCCAAGGTGTACTTCGAATCCTTGTAGGACACGGCGAAGTGCCGTCCCGGTTTTTTGTCGGTCAGGTTTTTTGGCGATGGTCCCTGGCGCAAGGTCCCCTTCGAATGCAGCCGACAGATCGCCCCAGGTCCCCCCGTGCAACTGTCCAATTGTGTGGCTAGCAGTCCCCACGCACAGGTCCACTGCGATCTCCGTGTCGGGGAACACCTCGTCATCATCATGACTGCCGGCCGCGTGCTCCGCTCTGCCAGGCTAAGCTCCACATGCGGGAAACCGGTCCCACTCTCTTGATTGGCATACGCGTCGCTCCACCAAGACTCATCCTCGTTCTCAATGCAACGGGCGGCTGCCGCGCTCCTGCGGCGGAGTACCGGTGGCGAAGGAAGATGATCGCATAGGTTGAGTGAGCATGTCGTGCTTGAGATCACCTCCGGCGCGGGCCAACACCACGGCCCCCTGCTCTTCACCCATCCTACTCTAACTCATTAATTCAGGACGATCCATCCCTTGACTTTTCAGGAAAGGAAAAGGGTCTTCCTATTACAGCAGTTGTCGCCTGAAGCACTCCTTGGCCCGAGCACAGCACGTGTGAAGAAGCTCGCCTTGCAAAGCTGCCCCGGGCTTCCTTCGGCAAATTAGCCATCACCAGAAATTTGTTGGTGCAAGGCATCTTCCAGCGACGGTACACGCGCGACTCGACGTTGTCATCTCCGCTAAAGTAAGCGGTGCCCATGATTCGCCATACCATACCCATGGGCGATTAGATCCATTTCCTACTTAGGACTTAGGAGCCTCAGGCTTCGCTGCCAATGTTGGCGGCAACAAATCAAGACGGGGCTCCGTCCTTTTCCTTTCTTGGCCGTACAAGTGACATCAGACGCATCACTCCTTGATGTCACGTGCGAGAGATCTCTGCGCGAACAACAATGAACCTTCCCGCCCCGGTATGGGCGAGAAAACAGCCGTACTGAGCTGGTAAGGGGTTCCACTTCGTCCTGATATCAACCACTTCCACTACCCTACCACCTTTTTCCACTGTTGGCAACCGTATCCATCTGATGTTTCTTGATATTCCGGGTGACGGGATTCGACAGGTTCTCCACCGATCTACAGTAAGAAGCCGCCCCAAAAAGGACTAAGAAACGGCGACAAAATCGTCGAATAATGACCAGCTGCGAAACCACCAAATGTCAAAACATGAACGCCAAAATATGAAGTTGGTGGAACCCAAAGTCTAGAGTCTAGGGATGTCTAGCGGCCCAAAATTCTTGCAATGATAACCTATCGAAAACGGAACAAATCCGGGTTCTCGCGAGGGCCCTCCAGGCTGGAAGTGACGCCTCATGGAGAAAGCGTCGCGCGACACTTGCAACAAATTGGAGCGGTTTTCAAAGGTTTGTTGTGCGGCCGCAGGGAAAGGAACAAACCTCTAACGGCAAAACGATCTCATTTCTACATGTAAGCGTCAGATCATCAATTAATCCGAAGCAACTTCGGCTACGCTCCTGCGAATCAGTTATGAAACCTCTACAGCCGTCATTGCGCCTGTCGGAAATTCAGCAAGAAGATCCCGCCCGTGACTCCGGTTGCCCAGGGCGGTTTAGCGGAGCTGGATTGAGGATGATTTAGGTGAGTTCAACTGGTTCGGTTTCTGAAACAAAGTTCCTGCGCATGCAAGCTGGGTTTGTGGCCATGCAGCCACGTTGCTGCGGCCGCATAGGAAATGGCTCTGCGCAGGTTTTACACATTAGTGAAGTAGTAGTTTCGGTCCGCTTCCTAGGGATTGGGGCTTGCAAGTTTCTCCCCATTGCATTTTTGTGTCGAAATGTATGTCGAATCTGCGTGTGTGAAGACGTCTAATTGTAATGGAGTAGTGCGCCAGATACCTCTTGTTCGGTCGAGCTTCAACTTGCCATCACCAACCAGTTTGCGGCCAGTTGTGGTGCCATGACTGCCGCCAGCTGCATATGCATGGTCATCATCTGGTGTTGGTCATTCAATGGACTTCTTTCGGAGCTTCAAGAGTAAAGCTCGCAGCTCGCTCCATAATGTTGCGGTGCTAGCTGATCCGTAGCTAAGCTCGACAGCCGACAGATTACGACAACTTACATCGCCATGGCGATTGAGTTGGAAGTGTGCCACGGGGGCAAATGTGCTCGGAAAGGTGGAGGAGCAATGCTTTTGCGTGACATCGAGGAAGTTGCGGCATACGCTGGCCCGTCCGCCTTGGTGACTGCCAGCAGCTGCTTGAGAAAGTGCTCCAAGGGCCCCAACTGCAGAGAAAGCACGGAGAACAGGGTTTTCAAACGCCTGAAGAAGTTCAGCCGTGTCGAAGCGATGCTGGCAGACATCATCCCCGGCTTCGAGATGAATGAGCTGCAGCGAAAAATATTCAAGCTGAAGTTTGCCGCTCGCAGGGCAGAAGCAGCAGATCGGATGGAGAACATCAACAAAGCCTTGTCTCTGCTTGGTCCGGAGAAAGTCGCCGCTCAAGAACCGAGGCTCCTTGCGCAGCTTCTGGTGATGCGATCTCAGGAACTCATTGAAACCGATTCAAGCATGGCATTGCTGGATGCCCAGAAAGCCGTGCACGTTTTGCCTTCTTGGGCCTTCGGACAATTCGCCTTTGCACAGGCCCTCCAGGCACATGGGCGATTCGGAGATGCAGTTTGCGCCGTGCAAGCTGCCCTTAGCATCGGCCGTGGGATAGACAAGAGAGCTCTCAAGAAAACGCTAGTATCTAAGCTCGAGTTTCATTTTGGACTGTCGCGAGTAATGAATCTCTAAGCACTGAATGCAAGTAGACTTTTCGTGTTCGCGCGTAAGGCCAAACTGCAGAAGCAAGTCGTCACAGAGCCGAACATTTTCGCTGATCATCGGGTGGCAGATATCGGCACTGAGAAGGCGGGCACCACGAGACAAGAGAGCATCTAGGAGTGGGTGTGACAATGCTCGAAGGATCAGCAAGCCCCGAAGGATAGACGAGTCTCACACAGGCCGTGCTCGCTCCCGTGAACTTCCCGAAACCCTCGTCCACAAGTCCGACGCCATCTTTGACAAGACATTAATCCAAACCAAGTGTGGGTAGTCTTGCTGGACCAAGAGGCCTAACTGCGGCCTAACCATTTCGGGTTTAGCGTGTTGACGACTTCCGAAATTAGTCGGCAAGGCATCGCTAGTCACATGATCACAAAGACCCACGACACCGCACAGGCCGCAAGTCGTTTTGGTTGCGCCTGACACGGGCAATCAGTAGTAGTCGGAACGGCAGCAGGGTTAGTTGTAGCTTTTTCTTTTCTTAGACGTAATTTGTTCGTACCTTCCCCACGTGGCCCACCTACCCCGCCTACCCCCGCGCCTCTTACCCCACCGCCAACTACCCCACCTACCCCGAACCAACTCTGCAGTCAGGCTTAGGGAACGAGCTCATTCACACAACCATGCGTGCATGGCTTGATGCGAATTCAGAATACTCTCTTGCATCAGCCGCTCGACAGCCGTACATCAAGGTGCTGTGCTCATGAACCCAGCAGCAAACCTTAACCCAAGACGAGAACCTTAAGCAGTGAATACCCCAGTCCAAAACCATTAGGAGTGAATCCAGCCGTTGTCCCGAAGACGGAAACCCTATGGCGTGAATCCAGCAGGAACTCTTGACCGAAGACGAAAACACTGCGGAGTCAATCCAGGAAGACCGTGAATCCAAGACGAAAACTCTAAGGAGTGAAATGCCGAAGACCAAAACCCTAAGGAGTGAATGCAGCAGGAGTCTTTTGCAAAGGTGTGAATCCAACAGAAACCTTTGACCGAGAACGAGAACCCTAATAAGGAGTGAATTCAGCCCGAACCTTTGACCCAAGACGAACACCCTAAAGCTTGAATCCAGCGAGAACCTTTTGCCCAACACGGAAACCCTCAGGAGTGAATCCAGCGAGAACCTTTCACCCAAAACAAAAACCCTAAGGACTGAATCCAGCCGCAAACTTTTCCGAAGCCTCAGGGGTGAATCCAGCTGTCGACTGCGACACTGACGATACTGTTCAGAAGATGCAATAACAGAGTCAGTTCCGACTAGACAGTATTTGTACAAAGCTTCAGTAGCTTTCCCTGCAGGCAACATGCATCGGCAGTCTTCCATCTATGCAGCCTTGTAGAGCATCACCACTTGGAGCCAACACTAGACCCCTTACCTTCAACCGTTCGCGTGCTTCGCCCAGAGCCACATGCTGGAGTGGCAGCTCTCGGGCGTGCGGACGTTGAACCACGACTGCCTGTGCATGAAGTTCTGGTGCCTTCTTCGTTGGTTGCATTGCTTTTTGGTAGGACCTGACTTGGTGTGTCTTGTGATTGAAGTAGGAAGGTGATCTCAGCTTACGGTTTCCTGCAGTGCTGTTTGATTGTGTTGGTGAAGACTTTCAGATATCTGGAATCATGCCTGGCTGCTTCCAATCAGTTCCGTTCCGACACCGGAACCAGCCCCTGATTAAACACGTGGAGGTTCCCAAACCCTAAGTCCTAAGTACCTCCAGCAGTCCTATCCGGGTGGCAGCAAGCCAGGCGCTGTGGCAAGGCTGCGCCATTTTCTGCGCCAAAAGGCCGACTCGATCCTGTTTGGCACGTGGAAGTTCTCGCCGACATTGGCTGCCAGAAGGTTTCACGACCTTACACACCCATCAGCACGGCCCAACACTTTGCTGATGGTCAACTCCAGCTAGTGGTGAAAGTTTACCCGGAGGGCCTCATGACTCAACATCTTGCAACTTGGCGCGTCGAAGTGGCAGCATTCTGCGGCATGGGCGGCGGCGTGATCAAACCGAGGCTGGGCTCCGGCTGGGCGAGCGCATTGTCACCCAGCCTCCGCTTCCCACCCTCCCGGCCTTCGAAGCCGATCGCCTTCTGGGCGGCGAAACCCTGGCGATCCTTGCAGGTGGCAGCGCAGTGACCCTGGCTCTCCAAGTTTGTGCAGCAGCTCTGGATCGCGAGAGGCTGGGGGCTGGGCTTGAAGCGGTCGCAGCGAGGCTTTCTCTTTTCAATACGGAGCCAAGGCCACGCAAGGTCCATCTAGTACTTTGCAACAAGACGGCGAAGGATGTTCTGTTCGCCGAGGACTTCGAAGAGTTCCTACAAAGACCCGGAAGGTTCCAGGTGACGCACCTCCTCTCGAGAGAAAGCCCACCGCCGCCGAGCCAGCGCCAGCCGCGCTCCTCCAAGCAATCTCTGGCGGTTTTTGGCCAGCAAAAGGTCCTCAGAGCCTCGCCGAGGGGCTGAGGACCCTCCGGGTTCTCTTCTTCTCTTCCTCTTCTCACAGACTGGAACTGGTTCTTATCATTCTGGATCTGAGGTTTGGAAGGGGCCCTTGCATCTCAGCGAGAAAGTTCTGGATGAAATCCTCCCAAATCGTCGGGCGGCGATTTCTTTCCTCGTCAGCGGACCGCCGGGCCTTTGCCGCACCGCCCAGGACGCTTTGCGGGCCAAAGGCCACTTGCAGGATGCCCTCTTCTTGGACGAGTTCCCTGAAGCCGAAGCAACCTGACACCCTCTAAGATCCTCTCAGCTTGTTTTCTTGATGTGTTGGCAAGAGCCTTTGACGAGAAGAGCGGATTCGGCCGAGGCTGGCAAGCGCAGGCGCATGCAGGCGCCGGCGAGGCGAGGAGACGGAGACCGAAGCTGACGCTTGAGAGAGCCTTTGTTTCTCTTGATTTCTTTGTGTCCCTTTGCTGATCTTGGCCTTCGTGGCACTCTTTGGATGCCGTCGCTGTACAGAGCCCGTCGCGGCTTCCTCGCAGTTTGACTCCTTCATGTGCAGGGGCAAGGAACCTCGAAGCGATGAGTGCCACGTGAAAGGCTGCATGGGGCATTCCGACATTCCTCTTAAACCCCAGACTTCACCCCCCATGCTCGCCGGCAGCGCAGAGGGACGAAGTGACGCAAAAGTGGTCCGACTGAGCTTTCGAGCTATGGCCATGGCGCATGCGGAGGATGCGGAGCGCTGATGGGAGACGAGGCCGGGGCCGGGGCCAGTCATGGCGACAATGCGATACGAACGTTTGCATCGAGTCTACATGCTTGAGAATTCACGTAGCCCACATAGACCGACACTGCAAAGGTCTTTGGGACATCTTCTCATGCGATAGGCTTGAAGCCCCAGAAGTGATGAGACTATGTGTGAAACCTGTCCAAGATTAAAGCCACTCTATTGCTCTGTTGTTATGCGTTCTGTCGTCAGGAGCGAAGACAGCTGATTAGGAAGATCGTTTTGTGAGGAGATTCTGAAGGAGCTTTTCCGTGTCCGAGGACTCAGTGCTTGCATGGCTATGGGCTCTTGCAGAACATCGCAATTTTGGGCTCCTGGTAAGGCGGTGATCCGTGACGATGTGACGTCTCTGCGACGGATTCAAGGAGAGCTCTGAGCCCAGCATGAGGGCCACGGGGCTGCGCGGGGCTTTGCAGGCCGCTCCCTTTCATTGCGAGGTCCGACATCGATCTCTGGAGCGTCAAGAACTCGGCCCAACAAACGTCCCCCGACGGGCAGAGCTTTCCACAGCCATGGCCATAGCCTTCCCATGGCAGGCCGCTGCAGCTGGCCAGGGAGCGCAAACGAAAGGAGGCGTGCCGCCGGCTGGCGCCCAGAAACACCTGGCTGTGACTTTCCCCTTCTGAGGTCCTTGCGTTCCTGCAGAGGTCGCACGGCGGCCTGGTAGCCCTCGTACCTGCGCGTCCAGTCTGGCAGGCCTAAACCTGCGCCTGCGAAGATCAACCTCGAAGCAAAAGTCGGAGCCTAGTGCACCGGATGCTACGGCGGAGCTCAACCCATCGCATGCAGGCCGCCGTTTCACCAGGCTCTTCACAGCTCAGCACTCATCGCAGAACGGGACAGAGCGAGAGTGCAGCCGAGCGAGCCGAGTCAGCCCTAGTCAGCCCTAGGCCGACAGACGCGGCCGGAGTCCCTTCAGCACGCTTTAGGGCCTTCGGGGGGGTGAGCTGCGCTGGTCAGGCAGAGTCTGTTGAAGTTTTTCGGGCGGTCATGAAGGACGATGCGACCCAGGCGTCGGCGTCTGTAGTGGTGGAGGGCATGGCTGCTCGTACTCGCGCTGCATCGCATTAGGAGCGCTTTAGTCCACGCTTTCCTGATCGAAGGGTTGGGTTGCGTGAGGATGCTAGCTGAAGGGGGGTGACGAGCCCGATGTCTACTGTCGCAGATTCCCACCAGCCTGGAAACCATGCACATTGGCCAGCGTGTTATCGAAAAAAGGGATAGTCGTCATCATGGCAATCCTGTGCATTCGAGGCCTTTGCCCGTTGGTTTCTTACCAAGTTCCCTTGCTGTGCTTCTGGCTGGCTTTTTCGCAGCTTTATGCTCCTCGCCTTTTGCTTTGTGCTGACTGCTTCTGGGTGGCTTTGCCACTCTGCTTGGTGCTCTTCGCCTATGGTTGACTCCTTCAAGGTCGCTTCTGCATTGAAAAGGTCTAGTGAGCCTAGTCTCGTGCTACGGTTCTGTTCTCTGTATTGCGTGAGTCCACCAGCTATGTACGCTCTTTGGGATCCAGGTCCGGCCTTACATGATCCCACACACATGCATGCACAGACAGGCACACACACACACACACATGTAGATCCCGGTCGATGCCGGTTGTCGTTTCTCTTCTGTCTTGATCGCTTTCTTCTTTGTCGCTTCTTCATCTTCGCTTCAAAATCTCATTCATTAGATTAGATCAGATTTTAGATATGAAAGCCTCCAGGAGCTTCTCTTTTCAAGATTTTTGAATGTCACAGAATGCTAGATGAGCGATACAATTGATTGGTTGAGTCTCAAGGCTCTTGTTATTGATATCGCAAACGATCATCCGAGTGAAACTTGCTGCCAGAGCTATGCGTCCATAGCTCCTTCCACCTATTCCGCTCGTTCGTTGGCTGGCATCACGGAATAGGCTGCCAGCCCCCTGCTTCTCTTCAAACATAATATCACTGAGACGGTTACGGCTCAAAATCCTTAGATACAGGAGTTGCGCACACGATCCCAGTAGAACTGGTTGTCAAACAAAGCTACTAGACAAGAAAAGCTTACATTGAAATTAATAGCCACCCGAAAAAACCTGAACGCTAAAATCAGCACTTTATGCTCAAAGCCTCCGATCAATCCAAGTGAAACGAATGCTCACTTGTGCAATGCAATCTTTGTCGCGTAGAGCGACTCGCTCTGAGTGTTTGCAGCCTAAGCGCCATGAAGCTTAGCAAAAAGACGAATTAGCTATTTGATCTCTTTCAAGGAGTGCGACTAGTGCGACTACGCTTCCGCTTCTTTGAGGAAGAATCCTCGTTGTTAAACGGAGGCTCAGCATTGCTTGAAGTTGCCGTCATTGATGATTGAATCTCAGACTTGTTTGTATGGGGGCTGGGGCATAGCCGGCAGCACTCTGCCTGCCCGGGTTGCGCGCTTGCAGTCAAGTAGCGCCCAAACCCTTCATACGAGCATGATTTTGGCGCTTGAGTACTGCCACTCAATGAGAAGTGGTGCTACACCGTGGACCATGGCATTTACGTGGAGGATGCCTCATAGATGCGCAAAGCATCTCAGACTTGTTGATAGCCGCTTTCTTCAAGATCCAGCTATATGATACAGGAAACCATTCCCAATACCAACTTTTACAAGAATCTGGTGTTTTCCAACACCATCGCCACAGTACTGATGCGGGAGGAGATCGGCTACGCTCCCTTTGGCTATCCATGATACAATGCTCGATCGCTGAAAGAGAACAAAACAGCTGCCAACCGCATTCGTTGTTTTCACAATGCATACTGAACACAACAGAACAGTAACAATGCGCAGTAAGCTTTTACCTCTACCGGGTGAGACAACGACTAGCTTGTTTGAGAGGGCCCATGATTGTAAGCAGGTTGAGTTGGGGGAACAGTACAAACAGGAACAGAATCAAAATGATGACGAAAATCAGAAACAATGCTGTCAAGAGTTCCTCGAATCTGTCTAACATGATTGAATAATTCGGTGGTTGATTCAGTAAGTTCCGTCATCTGCTGGGAAAGATCACGTACTTGGCTTTGAATGGAATCCAATTGCGCCTGCTGAATGCGATGGATGGACTTCTCCTCTTCCTTGTATTGAATGGTGTCAGCCCGCAGAGATTGTAGGTCGCTTTGAATATAACGAATCCATCGGTCTAAAGCCAGTAAATGCTCCATTGCCGAAGTGAGGTTAGGATTCATGGGCACGAAAATGTTGCAGTAAGCTGCATCCAAAGTGGCTGTCAGGTGAGACACCTTCACTGCTAGATTTCAGCATAGATACGCTCAAGCACCTTGTCCAACTCCTGTAGTTGTTGGTGTTGACGACTTAACTGCCAAACATAATTGTGGATATTCGCTCGTCTTGACAAGTACAAAGATGTACTGCGAAAGCTGGAATGGATGGATGAAGGTAATCGACATCTCCAGAGATCCTTCGTCATCATCATTTCAATGGCAGAGAAAGGTGTCAGTGGAATGTCAAAGCCCAGAAACCCACATTGAATCCCAGGAGTCTGAACTGCTTCCAACTGCACAGGTGGAACAGAAAAGTAATTGTGCAGAAAATGTTGAAATGCTGGATGGTTAATAAGATGTTGGTCAATGAGAACGATTCGATTGTCCACATATCGTAGCCACAGAAACCTGTCAACAGCAGAAGCAGGTAGAAAGACAATGGACAGGCCGACTCCGAAGCCATGGGTACAGGAGCGTGTTTTGAGGAGAGACGAGGTGCTGGCAGTTGTCGGGAGTACTCTGCTTAGCACCTGCGACTTTCGTCTTCCCGCACCGCCTGATGCTGACAAAATGCGTCCTAGATCCCAGTGGCTAATCGAATCTTCGGCTAACATGAAGTTCTTTCAAACCGTATATCGTTGTATATATACGACCGGACCGCTAAGTTCGAAACACCCTCTACAGCCCAGGAGTTGAATGCCTGGAAAGCTCTGATCCTTGCGCGCCTGATCCAAAGTGCAGAGGCCCCTATAGAAAAAAACTCCCAAATCCCCAAGAACAAAGGTGTTCGGTGTTTGGATGCGGACTCTGAGTACTTTTCATGTTATCCACTCCATTCCTTGAGCAGGCTACTCATCCCACTACCCTCCTGGGTCGGATGACTGCGTCCTGTCCTCAGGCTCGAAAGAACGAACCCTATTCGCTGCTTTCTTTGCTGCTTACTGCCTGTTCTTGTGGAAGTCCGCGCCTTCAGGATTGCTGACATTGCATGGACCAAACGGGGCCTGCAAGTTACGATCTGTTTCGTCCAGCCAGCGCTGAGGCATGGATGGCGACGGGTAAGGCTGGCAGGGGCTGGGCCACCCGGTCGCTGGTGCTGCCTGTCGCTTTGCTTCCCTCAGCCAGAAACGGTGCTGGAGGCGCGCAGTGGTTCACGTCTTTTCAGCATCTTGCAGCTTACATTTTGGGGCCCTTTTTGAAACGAATGTCTCCCTTATTACGACGGACCCCGAAAAGGGACTTTGGGGGTGGTGATGGAGGGGATATTGATCAAAACCAAATTATCAGCAATTAAGCCAAAAAAGAAAGATCAAGTACAGAAATAATAATACACAAGGAGAAAGACATACAGAAATACAGCAATAGGCAATAGATAAATAAACGCACGAAGGCAGGAAAGAGACAAATATCGAC